CGGGGGCGGGGTGGGGTGGGACAAATTGCCATCACTAAGTTCAGCACTGCTAAATTCATTAAAATATGAATTGAATAAATGACCTATTGAAATCCATTAAAATATGAGACACCCAAAACTTACGCCATTGGAGTAAATCTGGGCCCTTTCATCACTCTGATAGCATAATTTCTTCAAATAATGATTAAAAAAAAAACAAAAATACAAATCTGTAAAAATTCATCCAACTGTAAATAGTGAATTTCATATTGAAATCTGGCAAAATCTATTATATAGAAAATTTTCTGTCACCCATTGGTAAATCATCAGGACATTTAGCGAAATGAGTTACATATAAACATATAAATAGAGATTTCTCGTAAGTGAAACGAAATTCATATAATTCCATATTATATTAAGTCAAGTAAATAATAATTATGAGTTTTAAGTTAACCTTCCAATCGTCTTGTTCTCTACACTGTAAAAAATGTAGAGTCTACAGCTTATTATTATTTTTTATTTAACAATTATGAATTTTCTAAAATGAATTTTGAGAATAATTTCAAAAGTAATTTTATATTACTTATAAGTTTAGCAAAAAAATTATTAATGAATAGTGCTATCAAAAACCGATCAAGTATTTTAATACGATATATTTAATTAAAGATGAAATTATGTGATTTATTTAATTGTGTCTTTTATTTAATGCCACTGAAGTGAACTTAGACAAATGTTATAATTTAGCTAGTGGATTAAGGTAACTTTCCCTTGGAAATAACTCGTGTTGGGATAATCAATTATTTGTTAATGTACATATAATTCCGTGTGGATTGCCGTAATTTGTGAAGGCAATTAAGCAGTCTGATTGCTGATTTTCTATATACTCCATCATTTTTGAATTTTTTCAAAAAATTATAACATCAATCAAACTTTTCTTAAAACCCATAATTTCAAAACTTTTATATACTTTGCAGAGATCGTGTCTTACAGTTCAGACACAAGGTACACACTTATCTTCTTCTTCTTCCTGTCCCCCACCACTTTGATTAAACATCACATCTCTTCGAGTCTATTTCCATTAATTTGGGTGGTTGGGTCTATTTTTTTTTTTTTTTTTTTTTTTTTGACTAATTGAATTTATTTTTTTTTGGTGTGATTTTTTTTCCTTCCATTTTTTCAAAAAATGTCAACTATGATCTAGAAGAAAGAAAATGAAGTAGAAACTGATTCATGCAGATATTTGGTTTGATAAGAAGTACAATTTTTCTTCAACTATCTTTTTGTCATTTTCCCCTTTTAATGTGAAAACAAAAAATAACAATTATATTCCTAGGAGTAGAAGCTTAATCCAGACACCAACCTTTTTTTTTCCTCCATGGTATGACATACTAAACCTAACATATTTCATTTAGATATGTTCTTTAATAAAATAAAAAGCATATATAGATTTACTAAACGTTGATGCTTAGTTAAACATCGATGACACGTTAATTCATTACTTGATAATCGATGTAATTTAAATATTGAGACTCACCAAAAGACAAGTCAACCCTAGGCACGATCCAAATTGGGCTGGAAATTTTCGTCTTGCCGCATATTCGCAGCCCTAGTTAGATGAGTGCATTTGATCGGGATTTTTAAAGATTTAAAAAGTTTATATGTATTCAATTATAACTTTTTAAGACTCCATAATATCTATTCAATATAGATTTTTATAGACATTTTAAAAATATTGAAAGTCATGGGGTATTTAAATAGAAACTTTTAAAAAAATGATTAATGAGAGTTTAAATAAAAACTTTTTGGAAGTCTTAAAAAGTAATTGGATATCAAAAATGTCAATGACTTCTATAATATTCTTAACGTACTAAATTTTAAGCAGTAAGTATGAAACGTAAAATTTCATAAAAATACTATTATTCACCTCCAAAAATTAAAAAGACCTTTTTTTTTTCTTTTTAAAAAGATGTCTTTCTATTTGTAATCTTCTCTTTTCAACCTATTATTATTATGGTTCTTTTTTTAATATTGTCATTTTTATTTTTTGCCTCTCTCTTCTTTTTCATTCTCTTCATTTTCATGATATGCTCCAATTTCTCGATAGAGAACAATCAATGTATGATTTAAATTTAATGTATAAAAAAATTTGTAACTTAAATTTGTTCATTTTGTTTACATGTTTAATTTAATAACTTTCTACATGTTTGAAACTATTGATAATATTGAACATTAGTGATTTTTTCTATCAAAGAATATTGAAATATTTTGTGTGTGTGTGTATTGTTGTTTATTTTTGTAATTTAAGTAACTTATACTTTTTACATTCTTCTAAGAAATATATTTGTTCACATGAAAATATAATTTTGTTATTATGTGTAGATCATTTGATCATATAAGTAGCGAATTTACTAAAATAAAATTTCGTAAAACTCAAATGAATTCTACGTAAATTTATAGAAGTCATTAATTAAAAGTCTATGAAAACTTTCATCACTTTTAGAATTTTTATAATTATTCAATTGAATTCACTCCCTTTATACATATTTCTGCGTATCTTTAAAATTCACATAAGATTTTACAGCTTTTACTTTCCAATTCTTGTTCAATATTAATAAATTGGCTTTTGATATTTTTTAGGTTTTATTAATATATCATAGGATCTAGCAAGGGTACAATTGCTGATAGCTGCTGCCCTTAATTTGAACGCTTGAAATACGAGAATTTGGTGTTTGCACGTTGGCACCGAATATTCACTACTCAGTAACACGTCCCCGCCGTCCATCACGGTAGAAACTGAATTAGATTGACTCCACAACCAACTCCGGTTCCCACTTAATTATTATTGACCTTCGACCTCCAACGTTGAATTAAAAGTTCCACTTAAACATGACCCACCTGTGACGTGAACCCCTCTTGGAGGGATAAGTTCCAACCCTCACTCCAATCGAGCTTACCAAATGAGTTCACTAATTGAATACTTAAGAAGGGTATTTCATTCTATTCGACCAGCCGTAGAAAATTTGCCTCCTAACCTACTAAAACCGCTAATGGTAATAAAGATATGTAGAATAGGATGCAAACCTACAATCAACATAGTCATTATGTTACCACCACTACCCCCTCGGATATATCAATAAAAAACTATTGATGTGATAAGTGACACACGGATCCATATAAATTACTGCAACTAAAATTGACTATGGCTGTTGATAATTCATATTTTTTCCCCTATATAGGTGAGATTTTTTTTTTCAGGCCTCCATAATTTCTTTTAAATTGAGGTGAAAGATGCCACACCATTTTTCGATGTCAATGGTTATATATGAAGATTGAGTGATGCATGCATGTTTGCCATGGCAAATACACTAAACTTCAAAAGACGACGAAACCCAACCACCAAGATTTGGATCTTAATTAGATGGAATCGGGTCAAGATCCGGAAAGCGTGTGAAAAGTCGGCAGCCGTTCGATAATTTCAATTCCAATAATAAATAATTTCTAGGATTGTATTCACATGATTTAATTTTTCTGCAGATTCTATCTATAAGTAATAGACAGACCAAGTTTGACAAAGCAATATAAATAAATTATATATATATATATATATATATATATATATATATATATATAAAGGTTCGGTCTGGGAATTTTTCATTAATTTCGTCAAGTAAGAAACAAAAATTTGGGAGCTAATGACCAAAGTTAGACTGACCTAATCCCTTTATCCTTAACTGCAAGTAATTGAATATAAAAAATATTACTTGAATGTATTTCTATAATTCCCAAACACAATCTTAAATTGACGCTTATATTTTAATCTTTTTCAATACTTGAAATAAAATAAAATTTTCCTATAATAAAAAGAATAAAATTTTAATTTTTTTTTCTTTCTTAATATTGTTCTAAATTATTCAATCATCCGTGTCAAATATGGTTATGATGGGTCATTCACGAAGTTCTATCTTGTCCTTTTTTTCGATGTTTTTATTAAAAATGTATGCTTCTAGACAGTTAGTTTTCTTTAATCATAAGAAAAGTCATATAGTGAAAAGGTTTATGGAATAGTAAAAAATAGCACAGCAAAAAGGAATTTAATTATTTACCTAAATATTAAGCCATGTTTGATAAGAATTTAAATTTAAATTAAATATATAATTATTTTTAATTACATATTATGGGATTCAACTTTTCTATAAAATTTTATATATTTAAAAACGCTTGAGGCGTTAAAATATTTTGAGCTATTTATGTTAGTTGGCACGACACATGAAAATAGCGTTGTGCACGACATATTTAGTCAAGGTTTAGCTACATTAAAATAGCGTTGTGCATACTTATACAATCACGGGTTATATCTGACGTGAAAAATACTCAAATACATGAAATTGTCTCGCCTCCTTCAAATTGCCTTTTATTTTTATTTTTCAGTTTAATGTACTAATTATCTATTTATCTTATTCACGTTTATGTCTGGCTTATAAATCTATAGAAGGAAATATATTTAATGATTTCATACCAGCTGAATTTTTTTTATCGGATTGGATGTCAGTTATACCTAATTATCCATTAATAAATGAAGTTGACTTTGAATAGTCAATATTAATCAATACTACATATTTATATATAAAAAAATAAGTTTCGAATTGTATCGCATCATATGCTCTTGAACATTGTAGATAACCATTGAGTTTACTTCCTTTACAGCATGTCCAATTCCCAGTTGTTCTTCTTCTTCCTCCTCCTCCTCCTCCTCCTCGTTGGCTTCTTCAATTTCTCTCATGCTGACGTGGGCACTGCCAGCCTGTACAATCCACCTTATACACGTAAGTTCTCCTCAAAATTATCAAGCATGTTGAGTTTGCCACACTGATTCAAGAATTAAATCAATAATATTATATACTGCATTTGTATCTATATGCAGCCACCGCATGTTACGGCAGTGACGCTTCGCAGTTCACATCGAGCAACCTGTTTGCGGCTGCCGGAGAGGGGATATGGGACAATGGCGCCGCCTGTGGACGGCAGTACTTGGTTAGATGCATCAGCGCCGCCGTGCCCAACACTTGCATTCCGGGCCAGACAATTCAAGTCAAGATAGTTGATCGGGCTCAAACTTCGGTTTCTCGACCCACCAGAGAAGGAGTCACCATAGTACTATCAAATACAGCGTTTGGTACAATTGGAAATCCGCCAGCAACTTCCATGAACATTGAAATTCAACAGTGAGTATATATATATATGGATGAAATTGGTACATTAAAAGAAACGGGAGAAAAAACTTACGATTGTCGGAGATGCCAAATAGTAAATTCTTCCTCGAAATTTTCTAAAGGAAAGATGACAAGGAGGATGTAACAAAATTGTTCGATCATGCTTAAAAATAACTTTTTACTACTTGAACTATGAATCTGAAATACAAAAGGCAACAATAAATTAATTTCCAATATTGAATAAATTTAAGATAAATTACGGGAATTCTTTTTCACCACTATGTTATATTCGTTTACTAACAAAGAATTTGTTCTGTTGGATGTGTAGGGTTTGAGATGGATATGGAAAGTTCGTGAAGAAGCTGAATTGGTTAGCTTCTAGAGCATGGTTGTAGTAATGTTGATTAGCAAATGATTAATTTTGAGTACTTAATTGTCTTTGTCTTCCTTTAATTGCAGTAATTTTGTTTTAAAATAATTTTGTATACAAGAAAAGATGGTAGGGGTCTAGACACCCTACGTTACAAAACTTTTAGTCAGTGCGACAATTATTTTGGAATTGTGAGAAATATAGTTAACGTGCACAAAAAAGCAATGTGACAATAGAAGGCAAATAACGGGTCCGAAATGTCTCGTGGAACAAGTTTCGAAGGCTCTAACGATAAATTTGGTCTGATTAAGACTCAAACGAGCATATAAATTTTTAAGATTAGTATGCTAAAACGACCCATCATCTTTTAGTGAAATATTAAAGTATAAATCCCACATATATTATTTATTCTAATACATTAATCAACACATAATGATTTGAGATATTCCATTTTAACAAGATTGACCATTTAAAATAAAACCCTAACTCTCATATAGTGGGATATTACATCCCATGTTTTAATATGATATTAGAATTTCATTGAGTTCAAACTAGTAATTCAATGCATCTAAAGTTCAAACTAGCATTTTGATTTCAATACTTGTGTGCTCAAATAGCTACGTCTTGTGAGATATTATGCTAAGAAGTAAAATCTCACATTAATATTTGATAAAATAAATAACCAACATGTAAGAAATTGGACTACTTTTCCTAAAAAAATTGATATTTCAAGATGAAATTTCAAATCTTAATACTAATTGGTCTGAAAATACTTCTACTTAAAAGTATAGAAGTGCAACTACAGTGATAAAAGTATATGTTGTTTCTTAACCTATTGGATTCAAGTTTAACTTAAGTCTCAAATTTTGTTTTCACTTTCGTAGCATCATTGATCCACACTAATATATTCTTCTTTGTACACCAGTCTAGACCTAGTAATAAAACTATTATTGGTGTGTGATGCAGAAGTGTTAAATCGTTCTACTTTGAATCAAATTTGAGTTAGATATAAAATCCCTTCGTCGTGATCAAAAATTGAAAAATAATATTTGACCTAAAAGTTCTTAAATAGTAAGTTTGATTAGAGTGCTCGACAATCATGTAATGAAAACATGTGTTAATGAAAAATCTATTGATAATTAGAAACCCTAATTATATATCATCGATAGCAATAAAATTGTAAAAGGAAAAAACAAAAATATACAAAATTTATAGAGGCTCTTGTTCAATTTGAGATTGTTTTCAAATTTCTAAGAATTTTAAATAACCCAGTAATTTGTTGTAATTGCTGAGTTGACATACATCTATAATTTATACGAACAATAATGGATTGAAGCCAATCTCCTTACATGGAGATTCTTATTTTTCATTTATAAAACATATTTATTGAATAGCTGTTTTGCCAAGTTGAGATTCTTGTATATAATTTTCAAAAGTCAATGATTGCAATAATAAATAAACTAAATAAAAATAGAGATCTTATCACTCATTACTTTTAGCTCTATTTGATGTAAATTAAAATCAGATTTTTAGTACATTTTGATAAGAGTTGATGAAATGTGTAATTGTAAAGTGCGAATTTTATGAAATGTTTAATTAAAATTAATTATTAACTTTAACTAGAGATTAAAATTAACTTATAATCTATACCATACAGGGCTTAATATTATTCAAACCATAAACAAGATGAATTATCTGCCAATTGGAAACTAGATAATTTTTATTACTTTATATAATAGTTTTTAGGTACCCTTTGCCATGCTATTATAAGACAGATGAAGAGGGTGTTGTAATTGTCTTTTTCGACATGTCGGCATTATCTTTAGAATAATATTGTAGTTTCGTTAATCATGTACGACGTCAATAAAAATTATCTTTTGAAGATATAGACTTAAGCCCCCTCTTCCACACACACACACACACACACAAAAAAAAAAAGGGTCTCCCTCCCCCCTTTTCTTGAGATGTGTTGTCAAGAATTGGTCGATATTGTGATAGATTAGAACTTTCATATTTGAAAATTTTCAAGATTGAAGAAATGAAATTTTAATATTTTCAAACATACAACAATTATGGTAAAGAATTCTAAACACTTTGACAATCTTTCATTTTCTCTTGAATTTAAATACTCTATAAGAAATTTAATTCACCATTAGAACTAGACAACGCAACTCAATACTTCAATCTTGTTCTAGAATGCATGAATCTTCTCTTGACCATCTTTTTCTCACCTAGAATCTGATTTAGTCCCATTTTTTGCCCAAAATGTATTTTCGAATAGTATTTTGATGGAGAATATGTGGTTAAAAAATAACTAAAAGTTTTGGGTTTGCATATTATATTATTTTATTGAAAATGTATGGTTGAAAATAATAGGGAAAAAATGTATTTTAAAAATAAAGGAGACCAAACAAGGGCCTAACTGAGGATGCAAACCAAACTGTCCATGTGAACAATGACAAATCAAACCCACAGATACCTTAATAAATAATTATTGTCAATGGTAGTATCTTATGTCACCTGTTACAAACACAACGACATGGAGTATGAGAGCTTAAACGAGCAATAAAATTTTAAGATTAATGTTAACAAGAAACTTAGTCTTTGTGTTCATAAACATAATGGAAAAATATTTCATTCTTTTGAAATATTCTACATTTGAACTTCTCCAATTTTACGAATAGATGCCCTACGAAAGTGTAAAACATTCTCCATATTCTAGAAAAAGCAATCTTGTTGGGGGTTGGATCCACCTTAGAGACATTTCATGGGAGCTCTCAATCAATATGCATGAACAAGTTTTCTACCTTTGTT